ACAATGGTAATAGCAGTTGAGATTTGAATTTATGGGTATACTGGAAATTTGATAAAGAAAATTCCTTCCATGTCATTAGGCCTGTGACACTGAGTCATTTGGGGAGCAGTAGAAGTGCTCTGCTATTTGATGGCCTGACTTTCAAAGAAGATGTCCCGGCCCCTGGCTGACCCAGGCATGAAGGACCAGTAGAGGTCAAAGCAGCAGGTCTCTTACCAAGTCTTTCATCATTTTGTGCTGACTTCCAGCTTTCCATTTTCGCTTCCCCATTTCTACCTCTCATTCAACTTATTCTGTTCTCTTCTTACTAATTATCTACCTATCTATCTCTATCTATTTATCTATCTATCTATCTATCTATCTATCTATCTATCTATGTGTGTATGTATCTATGTATGTATGTATCTATGTATGTGTGTATGTGTGTATTTATGTATGTATGTATGTATGTATCTATCTATCTATCTGGCAGGGCACCTATGCCACATTTTCAGTATTTTGAGATCCTTCAACTTTCATCCTTCAGCAAAATCCTGGCTGTTTTTTCTTCCCCAGGTCTGACTCCCGTGGAGGCCTGTGCCTTATTTTGATTAACTCACCTGACAATAAACTTCAGTCACTTCCCACCCTCTTCATCTAGTTTTTCATTAGATGTAACAAAGTAGCTCTTCTTGTTGGTGGCTCCAAAGAGATCTTCGTATTGAGACGCTATTATTTCACAGTGTGTCTAGGTGTGATTCCTGGACCTGTAGATCTGTGTCTTTCATCAAGGCCTAAAAATCCTTTCCCTGTATTACCTCGTTGGGTTTTTTGTTTGCTCATTTTTTTTCTTTTTATAAAAACTTTTTCTAACAATCATACTAAATATAAATTGAAAATTCTAAGTCTTTTATCCATATCTTAATATAAATAGGAAAAAAATCTTCTCTTTTCTATTTTCCATATCTAGCTCTTCTTTGCTGCATTTGGGGTAATTTTCTTAGGTCCATTTTTTTCTAACACATTTCTAGTTTATTCATTCTTTGTTCAATAGGGCAAAATTTGCACTTCTTTCTCTTTTGGGCTTTGATTTTCAACTGTAAAATTGTCAAGAATAATTGAAAGAATAAATTTATTTTTGTTTTCTTACTTCCTACCTATAGCAGGTAGGAAGATCTGTGTGGTTCTTATAAAATCTTTTAAAACACTTGTTATTCTTTGGTCATATTTTCAATTCCCACTTTTATACATTTGTAAACATCCTAATTTTTAGGATATTTAAGCTAGAGCTCTCTAATGGTTGTAGTACTTGAAATTCTTGGCAGTGGTGGAGCTGTGGGGATTGCTGACCCTGTACTGCCTGATCCTTGCTCATGGTGGATGGTTTGTGTAGTAATGTTGGATTGTGTGTTTTTCTTCAGGGTATTTTAATTATTTAATCTTAGTTTGAGTCCAGCATGGGTGGCCTGTGGCTATCAGTTCTCAGAGAGGTTTTTTTTCCCTACCATTTCCACTGAGGTGGACAAGTTTCTTTTTTATGGGGAAGGGAATTGTTGGAGATGGAACCCAGGACCTTGCCCATGCTAGCAAGTTCTCTACTACTAAGGTACACCTCCAGCCCAGACAAGGTTCCAAGTTGTCTCCTTTGTGTGTGAATTGCTTTTTCTAGTTCACTCTCTCACAGATGGTGTTCTATTGAGGGGTCCCTATTTATACTGGATGCTTAGTTTCCATTGTGAGCTCACTCCTCATGAAGGCCTGAGGGCTCCTTCTCCCCACCCACATGGACATTATAATCCAAATCCTGAATCACCATGACCAGGGGCCTTAATTTCTGTTATAGTTTGTGTCTAGATGTCACCCCAAAGCCTCATGCAGTCATGGAGCAGGCTTCTAGAGTGTTTTGATCCATGGTTCAATGCTCAGATTATGGGTGTGAGTGCTACACCTGCCCTGGGGTGGATAGTTCGCATACAGTGTAAGGGAGGGAAAGAGGCTGCTTGCCACTGCTCCTCCCTTTTGCTCTGGTTGCTTTTGCTGTCTTCTGCTGCTGTGAACTGTTGCCCTCTGCCATGTGCCACTCTGCCTTGGAGCCAACAGAGTGTGGACTAAACCTCCACAAACTGTATGCTATATAAATCTTTCTTTCCTTAAATTGGGGTGTTGGGTATTTTGTTTCAGCAATGAGAGAAAGGTAACCAAGACACCTTCCTTGCCTGGCACCTAGCTTCTCTCCCAAGGCCTGTTTCTGGCTCTCAGGTTCATCGGTGTATTTGACTCGAGGATTCCTTTCTTCCTTGAGGATTCAGCTAACCGTTTTGAATGATGTTTGTTATATTTAACTCAGAATTTCTAAGTTTTCAATAAAAAAATATTTTCTCAAGATCTCTAGTTTGCCAAGAGCACATCATCACATTCTCTGACAAAACTTAAATGTTTCCTGGTGGGTGGAAGATGCCTGTCTGTGTTCAGGGAGGAGGACGAGGGGCTCTGCCTTTTAGAAGTGTAGCAATTTGGTCTCGCTCATGCACAATCTCTGAGGACTGTTCTCGAAGTCATCACTCAGTGATCTGACATTCATCGCTCACACAATAAGTTAATACTGTCCAGGAGTTCATTCATTCACTTAGCAAATATGTATCACGTATGGCACGTGCCACCTGCCAGACAGATGCTGCAGCCCAGCAAAAATTAACTAGATCCTTCTTGGTGGAGGACACAAATATTGATCAGGTTATCACATATATAAATATGAAATGGCAAGTGTGGTCAGTGCCAGGAAGTGAAGGGGTATGGTGTTATGAGAAATGTCATGTGAAATTTGTCCAACTGAGGCCAGGAGAGGCTCATCTGAGGCCAAGATGGGAGAAGCAAGCGAGCGACTTTGAGTAGAAAGGAGCACGGTGAGTGTTCCAGGTATGGAGCAGAAAGCACAAAATCCCCAGGGGCATGGGGGTGGAGAGAGGGAGAGGAAATAGAAGAGTATGGATCCAGAAAAGGCTGAGAGAAACCAAGACCAAGCCATGGAAGACGTGCAAACTGTGTTAATGAGTTTCATGACTTTCGTATTCATCAGAAGAGCCACGAAAAGCCCTGATACAGTGGAACCACACATTCTGTTTGCCCTTTTGGAAATATCATTCTGACTCTGGTGAGGAAAACACACTGGAGCAGGCAGGGCTGAGACGAGATGAGCTGGGAGCCACCACAGTGGACCAGATGAAGGTTGCTGGTCACTCACCACCCAGCATTAGGGCTCTAGACAGAAAGGCATAGACAGGTTAGAGACTGACTTGCAGGTAAAATCATTAGGGAGCAGCGGAGAGCTGGGACAAAGCCGAAGCCCTAGGCCTGTGTGACCAGACAGGTGTGTGATAGCTTTACTGGAATAGGGGACAAAAGAAGAAGATGAAATTCGGTGGAAGGGCTATGGGTTTTCTTTAGGAACATACCGAGCTTGAGTGGGGTGAGAAACATTGAAGAGGAAAATAGCAAGAAGGACTGGATATGTGGGTCTGGAACATGAATGTGTCGCGTGCTTACTGGTGATGGTTGAAGTGGTGGGGCTCGCTGCGCTTCCTGGGGACAGGTGACAGCGTGTCCCTGGCTGTAGGAGCATGGAGGCTATTGGCAACTTTCCTAGGTGCTATCTCGGTAGTGAGATGGCTCAGGAGAGTTGGAATAGGACATAGAGATGGTAGGGGAGGAGGGAAAAAACCAGTCCAGATAACTCTTTCAAGAAGTATTAACTTTTTACCTTTATTTACTTACACTGATTGAACCTCAATTGGACCAGGGGCCTTGTGTGTGGTTGCATGTGCTCTACCACAATGCTAGACCCCCAGCCAAAGAAGCGTTAATCTTTAAAAGGAAATGTGTCATCTAATTATGATCGGGTGGCAGAACCTTATAAGACCGAGTCAGTGGGCACGAAAATCATTTCTTGGTAGTGAAGAGAGCTGAGTCTGGCACAGAGAGGGTGGGGAGACCTGCACCAGGCAGGGTGTGGCTAGGTGCGGGCACCTGCCTAGCATACGGAGGGCCCTGGGTTCCATCCCCAGCACCACAGGAAATAAAGAAATCTGGATCAACAACGAACTGCAATAAAAACTAGTGTTTACAGAGCTCTGGCTTCTGTTTTTGGTACCATTTTAAATGCTTAACAATTTTAACGAACTCTTTCTCATGATGGCTTATTAACTCACGAGGCCCATGATGAAGTGAACCCCAGGAAGTGAGGTGATCTGCCAGGCAGGGGCACAGCACCGTGACTCCAAGCAGTCTGGCTTTTTAAAACAATTGCTTTATTTCAAATGACAAATAATAATTATGTAGAATTTATACATATGGGATGCAGTGTGGTCCATTGATATATCTATATAT